TGTTTATGATAAAAACAATAAAATTCTATATTGAAAAAAAAAAAAAAAAAAAAAGAGAAAGGAAGGTAGCAGGATTATCATAAATAAATGTTACGTAACACATCTCTGAAGAATAGAGCAGAAAATAAATCTACCATACAAAATACTTTCTTATTTTCAACACAATCAAATAAACAGATAAAAAACTTTCTAGTAGAGGAGATATCTCCACATCCAGGACAATTAATGGCAGGACCTGAATATGACGACTGTCACGTGATAAATATATTGTCATGATTCCGAAAGAAGAAGCTCTTCAAAGAACTTTGAGGCATTGTTTTCCTTAAAGAATCTTTAATAGCAACATAGCTTCCTCACGTACACAGAAGAAGCCAAAATCTGAATTCTCCTCCCCCAAACACACAGTATCTAAGCATAACTCACTCCTTCATTTAACAGTCATTAATCACATTCTCCAATTAGTTTGAAGTGCAAACTTTCCCCCATTACTTATCTCCTCTTATTACAACTAACCTTGAAGAATACTCTACTGAGATATTGTTATGGCTAACTAGTCCCCAAGCACATTCTTCCCCCTCCCCTTCAGCACCATCTAATTTTAACTTTAAAAGAAATACACAGGTTAAATAGAAAATGTCTGCATCTTCATATATTGTCAAGCAAGAACATCCGATGTTAGCAGCATTGACATATATCTTCATGAAAAGTTACTTCTATATCTACAATATACCAGGGATATATAGAAACCATGTATTCTGGACACAAATTCATTTTCCTTATCACTGAATTAGAGTTCAAGTAATACACTAACATCTGAAATGATTCATTCATTTCAAATACGAAGGTGTGAAATTTGAAGTACCACATTTTTTATGTACATCAGCAATCATACATTCTTCTTTTGCAAAATAAAAAGTATAAGATGCTTACATTGTCAAAAATATTTTAAACAATAACAACTTTCAAAGGAAGTTAAAATTTTATTTTGAAGTTTAACAATGCTGCTGAATGTCGAAAGATTCAGAAAGATTGAGAAAGAAAAAAAATACCTTTGAGATAGTAAATTATAATATAACCTCCTACAAAATAGAAGCACCTTTTACATTTAAAGCCTATAAAGATAAATATTTTTTCTAATTATTGCTGTTTATATGAATAGCGATATTGATTCTAAGTAGGAAAAAAACTACATTTAACCTCTTCTAGTAGATTTTTATTGCTATTAAAACTTATCTCAGTTGTTACAAATTGCTCAATAAAATGAAGTAAGAAATGATAGCTCAGTTTACAATTTATCTATGTTAGGGCTTATATCTTTAGAGGCCACAAGGATATTTTTTCCTCCTTTTTTATTTTAAAGTCCTTGCATTACATAGCGTATAATATAGACTGGAATTTCTGGACATTTTTTAAACACTACTTTGACACAGACACCACTATTATTGAAATTTAATGGTTAAGATTCTAAGACAAACAGCTTCATCTCTGTAAAAAAAGAATATCTCTATGTACTTATTAGTTTATTTTAGCTTCACAGGACAAAGGACCAAACTGGAGTTATGCTAAATATTTCTCTGCAATTATCAAAAGCAAACATTGTGGTGTGGGGACTAATAATTAGCCGGACCTTATCAGATATGGATAAGAAAATCTTTAATTCCCTGCTAAATCCCTTTTCTTAAAGTATTTGTGCAAGATAAAAATGTGAATTAATGGCAAAGCTTTGTTCTCAAGGCTCAAGGATTCTAGATCTATTGAAGAAAAAATTTAAGAGACTTTTCATACCAGACTGATATAGTCAGTCTACAAATACATTCAAGGGATAACTCTATTTCATAACTACTGTGTTTTCTTGAAAATAAGACTCACCCTGAAAATAAGCCCTAGCCTGATTTTTTGGGGTGGGCCTAGTATAAGCCCTACCCCAAAAATAAGCCTGGGGGGGGTTAGGCATGGCCAGCACAAGTCGTGGCAAAAGTGTGGGGGCCAATGGTGTCCGGCAGCAGTGTCAGGGCGTGGGAGGCCTGGCTGAGGTGGTACTGTGGTAAGTGGGTGTGGGATGTGTGGGACAGCTCCCCCCCAGCGCCTCACCTTGTGGTGGCACCGGCATGCTGTGTCACGTGGCATCTTACCGCGAGCGACCACAGAAGTGGGAGGCAGCCACGTGGGCTCCTGCTGGATGGGGATGTTGGTGCCGCCACTGCGAGGCAGGTGTCAGGAAAAAAATAAAACATCCCATCAAAATAAGACCTACTGTCTCTTTTGGAGGCAAACAAAATATAAGACTGGGTCTTATTTTGGGGAAAATACGGTAGAATAATTTTAGAGTTACTTTAGAGTCACTTTCATAATTTCAAAGAGGAGGTGTATAGTTTGTGAAAACCTATTTACAATCTTTCCCTGATGTTTTATATATCTTTGCCTTTTATTAATGTAGGTCCTAATTATATATGAAGGAAGTTTGAGCAAACAAATAAGATATAAGTTTGAGACTCGTTTATTTGATATGATTAACAAAGACATCAATTACCAACATATCAATTACCAACATCCCCTTAGTTCAATCATTAAGTTA